GCGGGGAGCGGGCGGCTGCCCGGGGTGCCCAAGGCCGACATGTTGCCCAGCGCATCCGCCTCCTGTGCCTGCAGCAGCGTGGCAAGGGGACAGCCCGGCCATGGCAGAGCCTGAGCATCGGTATGGGAGGTCACCAGCACCAGGCTGCCCTGGCTGAGGAGCTGCAGAAGAGTCTGGAGCTAGAGCAGTACCACCACAGTATCCTGGAGGCCAACTGGCTGCTGGAGCTGGAGGTCAGCCCCATCCTCATCCGGAGGATCGATGTGGTAAGGGGTGTGTGCTGGCTTTGCTTGCGCTCCCTGGCCTGTGTACCAGGGTGAGTGGGGGCTCTGCTGCGGGCAAGGGTGCTGCATGGGAAGGACTGGACAACCAGGTGGAAATGTGGATCTTGTGGAACTGGGCAGAGACATAACTTCTCCAGTTCAGAGCTGTTGGGCAGCCCCAGGCATTCAGATGAAAGGCAGGAGGGCTGTGGAGTGGGGAATGGAAGAGGGAATGTTTCCTAACATGGCAGAGCAGCTTGCAGAAAACATTCATGGATACTGCCCTAAAGCCCACCCTGATGCTCAGGAGACCCTCCCCTCCTGCAGTTTCGGCAGCGCTGCCAGGACCTGGAGAGGGTGCTGCGAGACCAGGCACTGCTTGCCACACAGCACGCCCCTGTACCTGTGCGGGCTCAGCCCTCTGCCACATGCCCCGTGGCAGTGCCTGTCCCTGGAGCAGCCAGTGACCCTCACCACAGGACACGGGACTATCGCTGACTCCCTGCAGCAGCACCCAGGAGAGCATGACTGGACAACACCCAACCCATCACCGTGTGGTCTGTGAGCAGCCAGCAGGTCACAGGAACCTGTCTCAGCTCCTACCTGGGAAGAAAGCATGAAGAGATTGTGTGTTTAATGAGATATTTCCTCTGTGCTCAGCTCATGCCCCTGCTGTTTGGCGTGTGGCTACAGACTGTGTAAGGAGATGGGCACTGAGTGCTCCTGGGCACGCAGGCAGGAGCATACACATGGACACAGATGCAAGCAGGCAGCAGCACATGTTTCTGGTTAAATATGGGGCTCAGCCTGCCATTTCCAGCACCCAGCATGGGGGCCTCAGCTGAGCCCACAGTAACCAGTCTCCTTGGTGATGGTGGTGGCAAGCTGACTTCTGTGCTGGTAGTGGGTGACAAGATGACAATCCTTGCTCCAGCTGGGGCTTGCTACCTTACTGGCTGTTGAGGGCAAGAAAATTTTGGGTTGGGGAATTATAGTCAATTTAACTTACTGCCATTGGCAATAAAAACAAAAGTGTAGAGCCAGAGGCACAGTTCCTGTGAAGAGTTTATTGGTGTAGCTGTTTCCACTACAGTCAGAGAAGTCACAATGCACAGCGACAACAGGCCTCCTACACTACACAGGGAGGACAGGACACACACGGCCATAGACACACTGTGGGGCAGGAACCTGCTGTGGGGGGAGGCTTCTTTCTCTGATTGGATATTTCTGCAGCCTCCCGGGGAAGGCATCGGACCCTCCTGGTAATGAAGCACCCACCATCTCTTGCAGGAGCCAGGCTGGCTTGTCCCAAATCCAATGGTGAAGCAAGCATCCCAGCTTTCTCTGAAGAACACTCCAACTCTGACCATCAGAGAAAGGCTGGGCTGCTCATCTCCTCTGGCACTACCCTCAGAGTTGTCAGGGGCAGCGAGGGCACTGTCAAGCAGTTTCTGAGCCAGCTCTGACAAAGGGTGCCAGCCTGGGGAGACCCCAGGACACAGTCCTGTCAGGCAGAGAGCTGTTTGGAACTGCGCAGATCTGACAGAGGCTGAGTACTGAATGCTGCTCCTTCCTACCTGAAGGGCACCAGTGGATGTGAAAAGTCACCTCAGTATGACAGCAGAATTGGGTTTGGGGGTTTCAGTGACTTCCTTGTAGGACGGCAGGGAGCCAGACTCAGTGGATCACTGCGCAGGGGAAAGGGAGGAGACCCAAAGGACTGTTTTGTGCTCCAGCATTACATCTCCTCTACAGCTTCATAAATATGGTTTATTCTAAGGGACAGAAATATGTGGATCAGGAACTGGGATACAGCCCTGTGATGAGCCTTCACCCCTGCAACCTTTGTGGAGGTGCATAATGGCACAGGACTCCTCTTAGTTCCTGCAAGAGGGCAGGCACTCAAGGCTTCAGAAAACCTGTTTGTCCTCAGCCACCCCTCCCTGTGCGGTTTGCCTTTGGGAATAAGGTTGGCAAAATCGAGGAGGCAAACAGTCACTCCCATAGTGAGCAAGAGCTGAAAACAGTCCCGTGGGAAGGTGTCTGGACAGATGATGGTCTGGAGGAGAGAGCCAGGATGCCAGTCCCTCTTTGCCTGTCTGCCAGGCTGCAGCAGCCCCACAGGCCAGGGGCTGTTGCAGAGGCCCAGTGTGAACACTCCTGGAAGGGGGCAGAGAGAGCAGGAGCAAGGCATCTGCTGGCTGAGTAAGGAGGCTACTGGTCTGGGAGAAGCCCACGGGCCATCCACAAGCAGCTTCCAGCCCATCCCTGTGAGTGCTCAATGGCACGTGGTGCTGAGACATCCAAATTTCATGGCAGTGGAGCAGGATACAGTGGCACCAGCTGGCTTGGCTCCCCTTCACCATCCGGAAACCAGGCACAGGCTGCCTCCAGCAGAGAGGGAACAGACCCCTGACCCACGGGCACTCAGAACCCACACAGCTTTGGGATGTGAGAGGCATCTCAGCCCACCAGCTCCAAGAGGAGAGAGACTCACAGCCGCTGCTGAGCAAGCAATGGGGGAGCCAGAGCTGGGGCTGCCTCCTGCAGGGCTATGGAACAGCCATTTGTTGGTCCAGGGAAGAGATCACGCGACTCATGGCAAGTCTCCAGTTAGTCCTTGGGCAGGGTGAGCAGGCACCAGGGGCCTGTGCCATGGGTGGAGAGGGCAGCTCCCAGCTCACACAGGCATGTGCAGCTCATTGTACTCGTCCCGGCCATCCTCATCGAAGTTTGGCTCTGCATCCTCTGAGTCCAACTGGGAAGAGGCAGAGACCAGGCTCTGAAGGCCACAGCTGCCCCTAGTGTGGGGTCAAGCCTGGCATAGAGGTATCAGCACACAGTGACCCAGGCAGCTAAGTTGCACTGGGAAAAGCAAAGCTCTTGCTCCTTCCCCTCCCAACAAGCTCCTTTTTTAAACCCTCATGCCTGCCCATGTATCTGCAGCCTGATGACCTTTCCAATGCCCGGGGCTTTGGTCCAGAACTGCAGCTCCTCCCTCCTCCCCTGCTAGCAGCACCCACTTCTGGGTGCTGCTCCAGGCTATTCTCCAAGAGGAGCTCAAGATGTTGACGGCAGCAGAGGAGCTGCCAGCTCTCGAGGAGCTGCCAGCACCCTGGCATTGTGGTTGCATGCTGAAGTGCCAAGCAGTCACAGGCTCTGGTGTGCTGTTGAGATGTTCTTGCTGCTGGCTCAGTGGGGAATTGGGGTGTCTCTTGATGAATGAGCCACAAGATGGAAGGGGAAACTCTTATTCCAGGCCTCTGCCTAGTAGGACCCTTTGTTTCCTTGCCTGAGGCTGCTCATCCATCCCACACTGCATTCCCAGGGCTACAAGCTCCGAGGAAGCCATTCACCCACCTACTGCTGTTAAGCAAAGACCCTCAGACCCGGAAAACGAAGGCTTTGCTGGCCCAGGACCTCCTAGGTTTTCAGGCTGCCAAAACTCCTCAACCCCACTCCAGTGCTGCAAGCTAGACTGTAAGGACAGCTATCTGCTTACCGCTTTGAGCTCCCTGTCGTGGAAGAAACGGGGCAGCACGAAACGTCGCAATGGCACTGTCATGATCAGGACGAAGGGGAAGGCCAGGGATGCCACTGTGGATTTCACCACCCACAGCAGCACAATGCAGGCCAGTTGAATGCAAGTGAAGAGATTCATTCTCCAGGTCTTCACCTAGGAGGTACATCCAGTCTAAGAACATACTATCCTTCTACACAGATTAACAAAGACCCAACTGGCAAAACATAGCCTTTCTACTTCAGGAAGCTGTACTTCTGCATAGCATAGTATAGCAACACAACACCACTTGCATGCTCTACCTGCCTTTATTCTACAGCAAGGTAGAACTCCATAACACATCAACCTCTGTGCTACCTAGCAGCACACCCCTCTAGCAGTGCAATGTCTCTATACCCACTGAAGCAATGCGTCACTCCTATAAACTGTCCATCCATACAGTATCTTGGTAATACACTCCTGTGTGCAGCTTATCAGCACACCACCCTAGTATTGTACCACCTCTGTGAATGGCTTGCACTTACTTCTCAGCACAAACTTGCAGCCAAGGAGAGTCACCAAGCCAAGCATCACTCCAGCAAACCACCATCCTCCCTTCACCTGTCTCTTCTTTCTCTGTTCCTTGTAACCTGGTTCCCTGCAACCTGCCTTTGCTCACCTTGACAACATAGATGTGGTCAGGATGGTGCTTGGATGGCATGAATATCAGAAGCAGCCGCTCATAGAGCTGGATGCCAGTGAGCGACGTAACCCCCATGTAGAGGAATATGCCGAAGAGCACAGCCAGTGGGATCTGCCGCAGCATGTTTCCCATCACAATGGACAGACCTGCACAGACAGAGCTCAGGGCATGGTGTGTCCCATGCCAGCCCCTCCACAAAGCACCTCAACCACCACCCCTCTCCTGCCTCCTTTCTGTCCCAGGGTACTACCCCCTCAAAAGGGGTAGGTGGGGGCAGTCCTGCAGTGAACAGGTAGAGCACAGTCTGGCCCATGGAGCAGGGACACTGCCAGGATATACAAGTGGTTGGTCCTGACCTCTCCCACCCCTCCTTCACCCGAGCAAAGGCTCACCAACGAGGACAGCAATAAGCACTCCAGTCACACGCTGCTCCTTCACCTCCTTGATTCTGGGCTTCTCTCCTGGTGCAATGGCCTTGCTCATGACAGTCAGGGCATTGACGTGGGTGACAGAGCGCACTGTTGCTGCAGTCAGCCAGGGCAGCCCAAAGAGTGCACAAAGCCCCCCCATAGTGCCAATGAGCAGAAGGTCCAGGTGGAAGCCAGAGCCTTTCAGCAACTTTCTCTCCTTCTTGCTAACAATCAGCCTGAAAGAAAGAGCCTTGGTCAATGTCAGGCCCACATTAGGGCCCAGGGCCAGCACTGTGCCTGGGGACAACATTCACTCTCTGGAGACAGCACACATGAGGGCAACAAGGAGATGGCTGAGGAGAGGGATGGTGACTGTGAGCCTCAGGTTAGAAGTTTGCTCCTGCACTTGGCTGATGCAGGTCTCCACCACACCATATGCCAGGAGGAGAGGCAAAATATGATGGGAGAAGACAAGGTACAGTCTGCAATGGCCAGAATCCTGCCCTTGCTGTTCCTCTGGGATGCCTGTTGCATATCTACATGAATAGCACCAGCACCCATCCTGGCCTTGCCTGCCTAGGGGTTAGTGATGCTTGGGATTGGCAGGGGAGGTACTCACGTGGTGATCTGTGTCTCCATGAAGATAAGAATGAAGACCAAGAGGGCAGGGATGGCAGAGGCAAACATCATCCACAGCGGAAAGGTCCCACTGCTGCCCATAGGGTGGATGAACCAGCCACGCTTGTGAGGAGATGTGACCGACAGGCCAGAGGGAACATTCAGCTTCTGGTGGAGTAGTTGCAAAACCAAGCAGTTACTCATCAATACACACATGCCCAGAGCCTCATACAGGATTAGCCATGATCCTCTTGGTCTTCCTGTTCTGAATGCCTCAGATGATGGGATAAGCCACCCTGAACTAAGGAGGACTTTCTGATGGATAATCCCCTTCAGTGCAAAAAGTCCCACGTCCCCTAATATGGGCCTGTCTCATTTCCTTTCAGTGACTGGAATTTCCTTGTTTTTTGTCCAAGAGACCAAGGAAATATCTTCTCTCAGGAACCTCATCCCCATGTCAGTGCTTGCAGACCATAGTTAAAATGCTCCTTGACCTCTGTTTGGACAAATCAAGTGTTCTGAACTGTCTATCCTTCTCTGAGGTGATTTTCCAGATTTTCCAAGGCTTTTCTGATACATTTTTCATCATTGTTTTTGCAGTGAAAACCCCAGAAGTGGCCACATTCTCTGGAAGTGACTTCACCCTGACCATGTTCAGAGGGAATATCATGTTTGTGCTCTCATCAGACCACACAGAGTCCTAGCAGCACATTGTCCCAACCCTGAGTTCACCAGCATTTGAACTCTTGGCTCTGTGCTGCTGTACAACAATTTTTGCTATCTGCACTGCAGGAAGAGTTTATGATTTGCATTTATGTTAATCAGCATAAGTATGAATAATATTCCTGGAATGCTTGTCCTTGAGCTAAGCTGTGTAACTAAGCACCATTTTCTCAGAAAGCTTTGTACATATGCTGAGTTAATACTGAAATGATAATGCTTTTGATATTAATTGTAGAAGTGTAGAAGAGTATGAAAAGAATGTAACAAAGTACATGATTTTACCAACGTCTGATAAACCCAAATTTTTCATTGAAATTCAAATGAGTAAGAATGCATTTGGATTCCACCATGGCTTGTGCTGTCTTGATAAAAAGCTTGCATGCTGAACAGGAAATACCTTTCACCCTCTCCCCGATCTTAGTGAAAAAGATACCAAAACTAAAATATATAACTACACACTACTGAAAAAGGAGGAAAAATAAAACCTGTCAGATGGGTTTGTTTGATTATATTAAATTCTCAAACTTAATGTCAAGTTTGTGCATAAACTGGGAAAAAATGCTGTGTTTGAGATAAAGTGATCAAAATATTTAGCAGCCTACAATCAAAGAAAAAATAACTATATTAAGTACTAAACCCATGACAAGTACCCAATTGAAACCATTTTACATGCCACCTTCTCCAGTGTGCATAACCAGTTTGTCTTGTTGATTTACTGCAAGTGTTTAGAGTTACAAATAAGGAATTAACTGCACTGAATCTCTCTAAAGCCCCTAAAGCCTCTTCTACTAACAGCTGGAATACCAGAGGGGTACCAGGGCACTCCAGTCCTTGTAACTCTGGTCTCAGTCTCAGCAGGACCCTCGGTGCTTCCCTTCAGCGTGGGAGTAAGGATGAGTGAAATGTCTCTGCTATGTGCTGCAACTAAAGAGGCAGGAAATACAAACTCCCCGTTGCACAAGAACAGGCCACAGGGATCAGTACAAGGCTACAGGAGGGGTTCGAAGGGCAGTGCTGGCGCCTACCTGCGTGTATGTGTCAGTGATGGTGTAATCCACTAGCACCATGACCAGGATGGAGATGGGGATACCAAAGTCTCCAATGATCCGCCGAGCCTGCAGAACAAAGACCTATCACTGGCAAAGGGAACGGGCTGGCTCCATGCACCCACCCTGCAACAGAGAGTCTGTGGTAAAGACATGCCCCAAGTGGGGCCAAGCAGCACTGCAAAGCTGAGTGCTGCTCATGGGCATGGCAAGGGAACCGAGCCTTGGCCACGGCGCTGCGCATTTCACTGCCCACATAACACATAGTTCTCCAGTCACTATTACATGATTGCCTAATTGCTCCTGCTGGCCTATTTAGACAGTGCTCCAGGTATTACACAGATGCTCTGCATGCACAGATATTCAAAGGGAATAAGTTGTAAGCTCTTCCTCCTATATTCTAATTTAACAGACTTACATCCAGCCTTAGGAGCTTTCCCAAGGTCCAGTGGACTTTCCAGCAAAGCTCACTGGAGCAGGACAGTGCAGACACCATCATCAACAGCCAGCTCTGGTCTGCAGCCTAGGGCAGGCTACCAGCCCTTCTGCAAGGCATTTAAGGGATTGCTGGTGTTTCTTTGGGGGACAGTACATGTGCTCTGGAGAACAAAGGTCTGTAGCAAATAGCATTATTTGTTTGGCGTGTCCCTTGTCCTTAACATCTGGGTCCCACAAACTTCTCACCTTTCCTCCTAAGAAACGGCTGTTCTTGAACTTGCGCATAAAGAAGGCAATGAAGAAGGTGCCTAGCATGAGGATGAGGGAGAGGAGAGCCGTGTTGGGCTGCATCCTGGTTCCCAGTGACATCGCATCTGCAGAGAGCATGCTGGCATTCAGGCTGCTCTGCACGTCTGGTGGGTAGAACTTCAGAAGAGGATGTTCTGCAAACACCTGGGCAGGTGAGAGAAGCAGCAGGCAGGTCACCACAAGGAGGGGTAAGGGGCACTGTCACTACTGGGGGCAGGGAGAAGCGGGGGTGTCCTGCTCTGTGGAGAGGTGAGGGTGGTGGATGGTGGGCACAGACAATTCCAGCATCCGTCACCTCGCCTCACAATCTATCCAGCTGGAGAGGGCTGGGGAGAGAAAAATGGCCCTTCTTTAATGCCTCCTGCAGGAAGAGAAGGGGAGAGAGATGTTAGGGCTCTTCCTGCCAGCCCCTGTGGTAGAACAGGAGCCAGCTGGGCTCGGGCATGAGAGGCCAGCAAAAAACTGCTCTGCAGAATGTCTAGGAAAGCTGTGGCTGAGCTGCCCCTGATCCCCTGCCTCCTGTATGCTAAAGCAGCAGGTTCTGGAGGGATTAAGAGATGCAGGAGCCCATCTCTGTGGAAAAGGTTCACCTTGTACAGTTTGTAGAAGGTCTCGTAGATAAAGATGAGGGAGATGAGGAAAGCAAAGATCTCCTGGGTGAAGGGCGAGATGTAGCGCACCAAGAAGCTTCCCTCAGCTGCCACGATAATGAAGATGAAGACGATGAGCCAGAAACCAATCCACACTCTACCTGTCAGATATTCAATGCCTTGTGTCTGGCAGAACTGAAATGGAAAGGGGAAGGAGTTATTCATGGCTCCTCAGGCTGCCTTCTGCATCTGCTCCCCATTAAGATCGAAGACTCTCCTGGGAAAAAAAACATCTACATCTGCTCAGGCATCAGAGACAATGAATTCATGGCTGGAGTCACAGGTAGATCTGCAGACTTTGCATTAACACCAGCCAGCTCACACCAAGCAGGTCTTTACTGCTCCAGTCTTTGTAACAGTACCTCCTTCACTCTCTGCTGAAGTCACCCCATGCAGGATGCTCCCCATCCCACCCATATAGAGGTTCCATTGCTCAAACACATCTCTCCACTGCTCCATGCATTCAACAGCACAAGCTTGTTGCCTACAAAGGAGAGCCTAAGCACCCTGCTATGTCCCACTGCATAAAGGCTACATTAGCTGGGGCATGATCTCAGACAGCACCCTTGTACACACACAGTTGTATGTGTGTGGAGAAAAGCCCCGAGACTGCCATCGCAGAGTAGACCATCTCCAATGCCTCTCCTCATCCACACAGAGAAACACCAACTACAAATGCCATCCCTCCCTCTCCTGCCTTCCTCGGTGCCACCACAGGTACACCTCTGCACACAGTGACTGGGTGAAGCAAAAGGGGTTAGTGAAAAGTGTGGTCACAGGAGAGCAGAGAAATTCCCACTCTGAAATGGCATCACCAGCTCCAAACTCTTGACACTCCAAGATGAAAATCTAGCTGTAGGAAAAAACATGCTTTTGTAAAGACATGGACATGCTAGGAGTCAGAAAAAAGGACAAGAATTAGACCCACTGCGTGAAGGTACAGTGACATAGGGATGCTTTTAAGAGCAATGAGGTCATACTATTTGAGAAAAAAACATATCCATCCTATGCGGCCAGGATAGGCCACATACCCTCAGGCTCATCCTGAGAGATGGAAGTAATGTATGTGGGACAATCCAAATGGGTGGTATACTGAATATTGTTGTGTCCCCATACAAGGAAACCTGGACACAGGTAAAAGTTGTGAAACGGTCTTCAAAGGAAGACCCAAGAACAAGGAAGTTTTAGGATGCAGCTACAAGTGCTAATTGTGCCTACATGGGCTGCAGCACAGGACTGGTGGCCATGCTTCCCCCGGAGTCAGCAGGTAGAGGAGTGCTGTTATCACTGTCACACCTTGAGGAATAACAGATACAGCAACAAAAGACAGAAGTCCCTGCAGCATGACCTGCAAAGGGTCAGCAGAGCCAGAGGCAGCCCTGGCTAAGCTGAGAGCAGCCTGGAAGGACCCAAGGAGTCCACACCAACGAAGACTCTACATAGAGTTGAGAAATGCCAGCTGCCCACCCTCCAAAGCAAGGGCAGAGTGAGCAGGTGCCAAGCACAGACACTGCCTCACATGTACCTTGTAAAAAGCTTCTTCAAACACCAGCAGAGGCCCTGAGAAGCCAATGACCAGAAGTGGCTGGGCTCCAAGCAGGGAGAATAGGATCCCTAAAACCGAGGTGGAGATTATCAGCTCGGAGACACCCATGAGACCCTCCGTTTTCTCTCCTGGGAAAGAGAACAGCATGTGAGTGTTATGGTCCAGGCACAGACACCATCACCGCAGGCAGGCAGGCTGCAGACACAGCTCCAGACAAAGGAGGCAGAACCCCATCACATCAGTCAGTGGTCCCCTGTGTTAGGCAGGGAGCATGGAGGTAGCCCAGGGAGCCGAGGCTGGAGAGGCCAAGTGGCAGGGAGGGGACAAGGCAACAGCAGAGGTGCAGCACTTCCACTCTCCCTGAGTGAATAGCACCGAAGCCCACCCCAGCACAGCATCACACAGACACAGCCAGTGTCCCAGAGTGCAAGGAGCAGACCAGAAAGCAGGCCCATTACCTAGGAGTCCCCCGAAGGTGATGGCAGGAGAGAGAGCAGCAAAGTAGATGAAGAGAACGGCTGCGAGACACTGGCTGTGCAAGGCGTCTCTGATGTCACTGAGGTATTTGGGGTACCTGCGCTTTATGTCCCGAACCAGACCTCCAAAAAATATCCCGGTCCGTTTCAAAGGGTCGTCCTCAGCTTCCTCCTCTTCTTCCTCAGCTTTCATTTCACACAGCTCTGGAGGTGCATGGAGGGCAAGGCTTGAGTGGAGAACAAAGGTCTGCCCTTGGGCTGCCCCTCTCCCCAGTACCCCGTGGAGCCCTTCCTCCAGCAGCACTAACCTGGTAGGACCCCTGTGACTGCACATCCTACTGCCCCCAGCTGCCAGAGCTGATCACAGCCACTGTCCTGTTCTTCTTGATGCCCTCCCCACTCCCCACTGCAAGAGCCAGGCCCTGCTCATCCCTCTGCCAGGTTCTGGAAGGGAAGGGTCCACTAGGGCAGACACAGGGTACTAGGCACAAACTTGCCCAAATGTGAATGGAGAGACCTTTGGCTTCCTGAATGGTCCCTTCCTTCATTGACTTCTGCTCCCTCTCCTTCCTCTTCCTCAGCAGCAACTTCTGGAAGGTGGCAATGGATTTGAGCAAGTCTTTCCCCTCCACCTCTGATGGGGGTATGACAATGCTGCAGTCCAAGAACTCATTGATTGCGTTGAGGAGGTCTTGACGGTCATCTGCCATGTATGCAGCCTCATGGAAATGCTGGGAGGGGCAGGGAAAAAGAGAGAGGGAGAACGCTCAGACCAAGACTAGACACAGCTCCCTACAGCCTGGAAAGACAATCAATGGTTGCTATGACATTTACAGTAACATCCAACTCCCCTGACCCGCTATTTATCTCACTACTGCCACTCTGCAATCCACACTCCTGAATCCCACCTCCCGTTTTCAGGGAGAAGCTGGTGGAGCCCTAAAGCACCACAGATATAAAGCACAAGAACCAGGACCTGAACAGGGAGCATAAGATACTCTTGGGAGTCTCCACATGGGAGAGAGAGAGAGAGAAAATAGGAGTCCACAGCATGCAAAGGAAACCAGACAGAAAAAGGGAGATAATTCTGACAGCAAGGGCAGGATAACAAGGAAGGACACCAAGGAGACTGGGAGGGGATAGCATGACTGAAGACAGGCAGGGAGGTGCTGGCAAACACATGGAAGTGCTGCATTGCCTCTGGAACAAGCCTCCAGAGAAAGGGCTGGAGGACGATGAACAAGTGCCTGTAAGGCAGGTAGGGGACAGCTAAGGTCCCTGCAGCACACAGACTCCCTGGAGCCACAGCTTCAATGTAAATGATACTGTACTCTCTCCACGGCGCCAGCCACTGTGTAACCTTGCTATGGCCAGCCCTGGCTGCAGCAGCTGGCTCTCCTCTTCCAGCAAGAGGAGCAGAGACTCAAACGGATGAGATCAGCCCACAATCACAGCACTGAAGCTGGAATATGGCACCTCATTTCTAGCTAAAAACAGGGTCTCAACTGAGCTCTGTGCAACTCCAGGGAAGCAATCTTTCAACTGAGAGATCTTGCTGCCTATAACCCACCTTGTCTGATTGAACCTTTAAGCTCCCAGTTCAGGGAACATTGTGCACTAGCGGCAGGACAGGAAGGTTTGTTACTTGCTTATAGTTAATATGGCACCAGCCAGGAGGACCCTGTGAACCTCTTGTCCTGGATGCCTGCGGCAGATGCTCAGATTGCCTTTTCTTTGCATTTAATTCCTTACCACGATAATGAATTTTACTTTCCTGCCATCTAGACAGATGAGGGACTTCTGCACATGCTTGGCAGAAAAACCTTCCTGCCTCCTCATCTCTCCTCCTGTATGGATGTGCTCCTCTGCATGGATGCTCCACCCATGGGACTCAGCTAGAAAGCTTCATTCAAACACGTGACAACCATACCCACGCATTACTGGGTCTTTTTGTCAGAGTGGCCTGGGCCAGATACCATGGTCACAGGTATCACTCAGCCTCCTCTCCTCTCTGTTTGTGAAATGTCAACTGAATGCCACTCCTCTAACCCTGGGCCATCCTTTGCTTCTGCTTATATGTATGGTCCCTTTCTTCACCCAGCCTAGCACTCTCTGTCCCAGCCAAGTGTCTGTCCTACTCTTTCCTCTGTACTGGAGCATCCTACCTTGGTCGAGTCAGGTCGCTCTTAAAAATTCCTGGTGCTCACACCTGCCTGCCCCACCTGGCCCTTTGCATTGCATCTCTCAGCACTTTCATCTCGGGACCATCTTTTGAGGAGCCACCAAAGCTCCCTTGCCTATGGCAGCATCACTGTCCATCAGCTCCTCACCTTGTCGGACATGAGGGTGGAAATTGAGCGGCCAATTTCATGGTAGTCCATGTTGGCCTGGCTTGGTCCCAGCAGCACAAAGATGAATCTGACAGGAATTGGGACCTCCAAGACAGATTCCAGAAAGACAGCCTCATTTAGTCGGACGAAGGCCATAGTTGGCTGCTCCAGGAACTGCACACAACCTACCAGGAGGAAATTTTTTGAGAAGAGTTAATCACTGGGGTGAGCTGTACTGTGCTGCCTTTAACAGTGGTAATGGGGATTTCGGGGGTTCCCATGAGCCCTGCAGTCCTGTACTTTCTCCAGACCACTGACACAGCACTGAGCTTCATGCCAAGGACTGCTCCAAGTCCTTCACTGATCATTCCCAAGTACTGCTACTTTCTTTAGTCCATTCTTAGTCCCTTACAGATGGGCTCTACTTACACTATAAGGGGCGAATTTTAACTTGGAAAGTTGTTTCCCACTTGCGGAAGGAAGTCTCTTACATGTTACTTTTATCAAACTTCTAATCTCATCAAAGAGTGAAATCAGGTTTGCTTGACATGACCTCCTTCCCATAAAACCCACTGCTTGGCAATAATTACATTCTTATTCTTTAGCTCTTTATTAATTGAATCCCATATCAGTTCTGCCATTATGTTGGCCAAGAAGGATGTCAGGTTAAACAACCTACAGGTAATGGCTCACTGTCTTTCCCTTCTTGAGCACTGATGCTATGAGCTTTCTTCTTTTTATCTCATATTTTCCCTGTATTCCTAGATGTTTTATTTTTTTTCAGAGAAAAATAAGCCAGTTCTCCATAGACTCATAGGTGCAAACTGCATACTTTGTTTTACAATGCCTGCATCTTACCAGTGCTTGGCAGTCTTCTCGGTTCCAAACAGATTGGAAGTACTCCTGCATCCTCTGGCATACCAGCCACTTCCTTCTCATACCGAACACAAATGTTCATTGAATACTTGTATTTCTCTGGCATTACTACTGATCTTTCTGCCATCTGTGCCCAGCAAAGAGCTGTGTTCTGTTAGACTGGCAAATCTGGGCTATCTGAGAGTTCAAGCAAATCCCAAGACACAGCCTTATCTCAGAAACAGCAAATGTTTAGTTATCTATGTAATCAAAGTGCATTTATGAACTTGATTTGGCCTCATTGTGGTTAAGCATCAGTTTGTTTGAGTTGCCAAGCCTCTTTGCCTGAGCTTTTAATCTACTGGATAGGCAATGACATTTACTTTGCTTGTAGTGTGGCTAGGTTAGCTGAGATCTTAATGGCAGCAAAGCGCTGATAAGGAATACTCTTGCAGTCAGAAGGCACCAAGCCCACTGATGCTCGAGCCTGCCTGTTCACATCCCTCTTGGATAGAGATGTATCTCCTGGCAGTGCTACGGCCAATGCCTGAGACTTTGCCACCAGCCAGGCCCTGCTTCCGTAAACTCAATGCTTCCTGGCATGCACAACCAGCAGCCAACACTGGCCAGGGACAGGAAAAAAACTATCCTAGCACCCCATACATTTACCACAAACAGAACGTGCACTATCACAGGAGAGAGCATACCAGGTTCCCTCCCCAGCTGAACTATGGGAACATGTATGAGATAACCAAATACCCCTCAGGAGGGAGGGCACAGAAAGCTGGGGCCAGACCAGGATCTGCACTAGTCACTGGGGGACTCTACATGCCACCTCTTACCCACAAGGACCACTGTGGCCTCCGCATCTTCAGGGATCTTCTCCATCAGTTTCAGGTATTTACGGTGGCCCTCTGAGTTATGGAGATGCAGGTTTTTCTGGCCGGGAAGAGTACAAACAAGTAAGGATGAAATCCCCAGGCTCTGATCTCTCTACACAGCCTTGCACCACACTGGCATAACTGCAGCAGGACTTGCCTTGGCTACCCATCACTGCTTCACAAGCAAGGCAACCTCACAGCAAAGGCCATTCCACAAGCACCAGGGCTGTTGCTGCCATTGCGTGCTCAAGCAGACATCTGCATACAGTGCAAAGCTAAAATTAGGTCCCGAAATCATAATGCAGTGACCTGATTTCCATCGATCCAGGGGAGCTCAGTTCTTGCAGTACAAAGTTCCCCCATGAAGGGGCCCTGACGTGGGTGCCAAGGGCTGCTGTCAGCCAACAACTGTCCCCAAGATGTGGAAAAGGAAGTAGTAACACCCCCATGTCACCCTCACCTCTTTGCACTCAGTCTCGTTGGCCTTGGGGTCAGCCATCTCGATGCGCTCTTCCCCCATGAGAGGCACACAAGTGTCTGTGGTGTGGTTGTGGTGGTGGTTCCCCACGATGGAGTTCATGCTGGAGCTGGAGTGGTTCCTTGGGAAGAAGCCATCTTTCTCATCATTGGGGTGGCTGAGGAGCAGAGTAGTGGCCATGAAGGTACCTGCCTCCCTTGTCACCTGGGGCTCACAGATAATCCCTGAGCCTGGGCAGCCCTCAACCATGTGTCACTCACCTGTGCTTCAGTAGCAGGGCACGCAGCACATTGGCTCGATCTTCTGCTCTGATCTGGTCAGAGATGATCATGGTCTCCACCATAAGGTGAGCAATGCCAGGTAGAGTTGTCTGCTCCAGGTCAAGGAGGACAGCACCTGCCAGCAGGAGGGGAAGAACCCTGGTCCTAGTGTGCAATGCTCCTCACTGCACACACACTCTGCAGGGACAGCTATCCCACCAGAAGCCAGGCTTTGGCTGGGGTACAGATTCTCTTGGCTGAGAAATGCCCCAAGTCCATGTGCCCCATGTTCCTTCAGTAAACCCTTGTCCCAAAAGAACCCAGAAGCTCCAAGATGCACTGGTAGTTCTGGTATCTTCTCGTTTGGGTCTTTTGCCCTGACCAAACATGCTTTTTCACACCAGAGATGGGTCCAAGACCTGCTGGCCCAGGCACAGCTGGAGGTTGCAGCTGTCACGTGCCTGAGAGCAGCAAAGCAAAGTGTGGAACCCTTGGCCTAATGCAAACCCTGCCAAACAGGCTGCAGGATGGTCTGTTTCCAGAAGCCTGGACACAGACACTGCTGCATGCCTCCAGTAAGGGGCTAAACAGCAACTGAAGCTGTCCAGTAAAATCTATCCCACAGCAAGAGACAAACCCTGGCCTGCTATTTCTGACTCACCATGGGCAATCGTCTTCCTGAGCTCCAACAGACTGCGGAAGGACAGCGAAGCCACATGGGGTTTCCCCCACCTTGCTGTATCTTCCTCCACATCCTCCTCAAACTTGATCCAGCGGGCTGTCTCCCTCCAGTGCATCTCCTGGTTCTTATCCACCACCAGCTCATTCAGCTCCACAAACACCTAGTATGGATTACAGCAAGGATGTAAGACCTCCCTGATGCGCAGAGCTCTACCAGTAACACGTAAAGAGCCTCAGCTGTTCTCAAGGTACTGCCTGGTCTGAAGCACTACCTGAGCAAGTTTGCCAGAGTTAACCAGAGGTTTAGTGAACAGAAACAGCCATGATAAATACCACTGACATTGGCAGGATCTTCCATCAGCACATGGAGAACCAGAAAGCTCCAAGTCAGATGATGTGGGCAGAGGAGAGAGAATGATGCAATGCTGCATCCCCTTCTACCAAACTGTGACAATTTTGTCCTCTGCCTTCTTCTTGGTTTTCCCCAAAATTTCCCAGACCTACCAGAGATGGTGACATTACTGTGCTGCCAACTTCCACAACAGCACTACCATTTCTCTGACTTGTTAATGTCTTTCCTTAGGTCAAAGCTTTGTGATTTCAGGGAAATGTCCACTTTTATTGAAAAGAGTGTATTTTCAGCCCTCATATTAATGTTTAATAGCTTGAAATGTCACCCTCAAGGTCATGTAAAGATTTAATTATATTGAAACACATTTGTCACTTTGCAAAGTGCATATTTCTAGTCCTGATTTATGGCTCCTGAACAAGTGTGAGGGGACAGCACATGGATACCTCATGGGGTTTTCTATCCAACTTCTTCTTCTTCTTTTTCTTGACAGATGGAGTTGATGCTAATTTTTTACTTGTCCTGGTGATCTGACTCCGAGATGGTTTTTTCATTAGATGCCTCCTAACACCAGGGTTATCTTCAAAACGGTGGCCTGAAGACATAGGAAAGGAAAATTTGTCTAGTGTAGAAACACAGTCTGGCAAGGAAACACATCCAAGCCCACATTTTTCTCATCAGCTTATGAGTTCATTAGCTTTCTCAAAGCCCTGGCAGGTGTGCTGCCAACTTCCACAACAGCACTACCATTTCTCTGACTTGTTAATGTCTTTCCTTAGGTCAAAGCTTTGTGATTTCAGGGAAATGTCCACTTTTATTGAAAAGAGTGTATTTTCAGCCCTCATATTAATGTTTAATAGCTTGAAATGTCACCCTCAAGGTCATGTAAAGATTTAATTATATTGAAACACATTTGTCACTTTGCAAAGTGCATATTTCTAGTCCTGATTTATGGCTCCTGAACAAGTGTGAGGGGACAGCACATGGCATGGATACCGGGTTTTCTATCCAACTTCTTCTTCTTCTTTTTCTTGACAGATGGAGTTGATGCTAATTTTTTACTTGTCCTGGTGATCTGACTCCGAGATGGTTTTTTCATTAGATGCCTCCTAACACCAGGGTTATCTTCAAAACGGTGGCCTGAAGACATAGGAAAGGAAAATTTGTCTAGTGTAGAAACACAGTCTGGCAAGGAAACACATCCAAGCCCACATTTTTCTCATCAGCTTATGAGTTCATTGGAGTTGATGCTAATTTTTTACTTGTCCTGGTGATCTGACTCCGAGATGGTTTTTTCATTAGATGCCTCCTAACACCAGGGTTATCTTCAAAACGGTGGCCTGAAGACATAGGAAAGGAAAATTTGTCTAGTGTAGAAACACAGTCTGGCAAGGAAACACATCCAAGCCCACATTTTTCTCATCAGCTTATGAGTTCATTAGCTTTCTCAAAGCCCTGGCAGCTGGAGCACTCACCATCATCCTCCAGACCTTTGAAGATCCCTCCTGCCTCATCTTCCTACTTTCACCTCTTCCAGATGCCTGTGAGCTAATTCCTTCACAAAGAAGCCTTCCTCCCAGGCTGTGCATACACTGGAGCTTCATCACAACAGCTTTTATTCATGGTGCATGAACAAGCGGCCCACGAACCCTCCCTACACTCCCTCAACAAAAAGCAGCCTACAGCCTTGCCTGCACAGCTCCACGCTCATATCGCATAGGCAGACACCTGGCTGGGGTTCATCTCTCACACCAGAGGAAGGCCTGGTGCTCAGCAAGCATAAAGGGCAGTGAAGGGGAAGGATATTTAGCTGCTGGTCTGGGAGACATAAGGAAATATCAATGACTGTTTTATTTAATTGTGTGATGAGACTGTAGGATAACAGTGCAGCCTGGGGCTGGCATGGAGGCTGGGCAGTGAGCTACAGCTATCGCTGCTTCTAGATGCTCCGCAGTGCTACTGTAATGCTCTCAGAAAGGTCCATGTTACACGGATCTTCTGGCTGAATCAAAGCCTCCCAAAGCCTCCAGAGAGGCTGTTAAGGCTGCACTGCAGACCCACCACCAAGCTACCAGTGCTGTTGGCTAGACAGTGCCCACCAAAACCCAGCCACAACCATGTCATCCCTTTCTGTAATGGCAGAGAAACAGCAGCCTGCCGTGGAGAGTAGTTTCCCTGGACACTACCCAGAGACAGCAAGTGTATCTTCCTCAGCATGGACAACCCATAGGAATGGGGAAAGCCTCAGAGCCAGGTTCCAGGATGGGCAGGCTCCCCCAAGTAGATAATGGAATCAGGGGTTTTGCCCAGCTTTGGTCCATTGAGGCTTGCTGGTCCTGCTTGTAAGACTATGCCAAGGTTTTCTCCCTGGGGGAGCAAGGGCAGCTCTCCATTGTCTGGGACGAATGTTCTGTCTGCACATACCTTCCTGCACTTAGCTTCAAGACCTGCAGCTCTCAGGGCACAAGAGGCAGTAAAAGGTACAGGATTTGAAGGCCAAATGGTCTCTTTGATGTTGTAGGAAAATATCTGTGCACCTCTGGCATGGAAAGACACACCCAGCATCGGGCCCGGCGTACTATGGCCTTGTGCCTTGGAAATCTGGGTCGCTAAATTAAATATAAAATGAATCAATACTGAGCCTCAGGGCATTTTCCCCCATTGGCTGCCATGCTGATGCACGTCCCGCTGATGGTAGGACTCCTCCCTGCTCCACTTACTGCACTGCAATGTCGATAGGAGCCAGTAACTGCCCATCACTGTGAACATTTCAGGGAGCGGGGCACGTGCGGGGCTTCCATGGAGTTTTGCATGGATTTCTCAGTTCCTATGTGCACAGTAGCCACTTCACCACACTCAGTGTGTGTTCATGCATAAAACAAGCACTCCACCAGACAGATGATCTTGGTATCTGGCACTTCTGCTCCAATCCCTGAGGCTTCCGATTTTCCATGCACCCTGGGACATACTTTTACCAAGTCCCTGGAAGACCAGGACCAGAGCACACTCTGCCCAGCAACACAGAGCTCTCACCCAAAGTATGGCAAGCTTTCCCCATGGAAATGACAACTTACTACACAGTGCTCTTTGGCAACAGCCTTAGAAAGCATGCACAGGCATCCAGTCTCAGCCAGCAAAATGGCTGGAGGACAGATAGAATGAAAGGAGCCAAGTTTCCTGAGAACACCTCCAGTGACTCCAGCACTCACTGACAGGGACAGGAGCAAGAACGCTGCAGGGTCAGAGCGTGCTGGTGAAGGCACACCTCCAGATCCCTGCAGAAGATTAAGGAGTGATCCCACTTGCTGCCCTCCCTTGGCAGTGCTTGTGGCCACTGAGATGCCAGCTGGGAAGGGAGACAACCCATAGGAGCAGGGTGGACACATTGGCTTAATTTAGGAAAAGGCCACTGGCTTTGGGAGTATCATGCATAGTCCAGCTCCAGCTCCAGTCTCCTCCAGAAGATGTTCTTGCCATATTGGCTTCCACAGTCAGATTTCTTGGGAAGACCAAGTTCCTCTTCCACCAGCTTAAATCTGAATATGACAAATATGACTTTGCACTGGCTGAAGTCTTTCCCCAGAGTGTCTGTGCTAGTCAGTCCAACTCAGCAGGCGATTGCCTTCAATTTGTGTGTTAGATCCTGCTTCCCTTCTTTCATTTCCTTTGAACCAAAAGCAGGAAGACCAGAAAGAGGCATCAGAGTATTTGTATCAGTACTAGAGAGCAACCCACTATTCTGGCATCACAGGGATGGTGCACACTGCCCATATGTCCCAATGGCTGTTATAGTAGTAAAAAAAAGAGATTGAATCTCCATCTCTAGAAATATTTAAAACTAGACTAAACAAAATGCTAATCAACATACCATAAGACACAACCCTATGCTAGCTTCTGGAAAAGCTACTGCCTTGTCCTGCACAGAGTCCAAGTCTCTCCTGGCTGATGTGAAATGTGATAGGGACAGTTGAACCCCAGCTCATCTTTGCCACCACCCATGTGTCCCTGCTCAGCACTCCCCACGCTCCAAACACTTAAAGGAGTGCAAGGAGACCAGCTCAGATCCAACAAGGACTCTACTCTGCTCAAAACTGAATTAATTCCTCCTGGATCTGACTTGGTCCTGGAACAGGCGTTGCCATGGAGGGAATAGCTGGGCAAGTGGCACTGGCTGGAAGTGAGTTGGCTCCACACAGAACAAATTCCGGTGTCTCTGCCATGTCTGACTCTGCCATATCTCTCTGCAGGATTAATCCACAGTGCACATTCATTATACAGAAATAATTAAGAGTTGACTGTACAGTGCATCCTATTTCAAGCACATGAAGTATTAGCTGTAGCAATCAACGAACATGTTACCTACCAGGAAGACAAATGTATAACACCACTTTATAAGTGATGCATATCACACCTTGCAGAAGTGATCTGCCCCTTCTACCTTCTTAACAGCCATTTTTTCCTGGGCAAACCTGAGGCTATTTCTCACATTTTTAATGTACAGTTCACTCAGCTTGGGACAGCTGATAGGGCCAATTTGCTCCAGGTTTCTATTTTGAACTTTGTTGCTACTATACACTCTATCAATTTACAGTAACAAGTAGCAGACTTGTTACTGTAACAGCCAGAAGCTAATCCCCACTTGCTGGTCCCTGCAGAAGCACATAGGCAGAGGTTTCTTCCCCAAAGGCTTATAAAGATAGGACAAATGACAAAGAGAACATGATGCTGGGACTGGGAGGCAGGGGAAATTAAGTGTTTTGCCTGAGATCACACAGAGTGTGGCAGAGCCAGAAGCTGAACCAAGCCATCCTGAGCCCCTGTTGCAAGCACTCTGCCCTCCCACTCTTGTGTGCAAAGACAGTAAGTGGGCTAGTTCTGGGACCACATCACCCATGTGTGCTCCTAAAATCCCTTGAAAAATTAACACATGATCTAGATGAGAACACTTGGACAACCAGCACAGAGCTACGGCTATGAACAGTGTCGCTCCCAAGGTGAGGCACAAAGCCACCTTTTAACTGTGAGTTACCACCATCTGCCTAGAACGACCGCGTGTGTGAGGTGGGAGTGACACTCTGGTTTCTGTGCAGTCCCCTGGATGGCTCAGAGATCCAGCTCTCCACAAGGGATGTGCAGGCATAGAAACAGATGCGGAGAACAGAAATACATTCTTCACTATCAGGATTCCTATTCTCTCTTGCACAAAGCCACCTTTTAACTGTGAGTTACCACCATCTGCCTAGAACGACCGCGTGTGTGAGGTGGGAGTGACACTCTGGTTTCTGTGCAGTCCCCTGGATGGCTCAGAGATCCAGCTCTCCACAAGGGATGTGCAGGCATAGAAACAGATGCGGAGAACAGAAATACATTCTTCACTATCAGGATTCCTATTCTCTCTTCTCTTTATTCTCCCTTCCAGGCAACTCAGCCAGCCTGCCATCAGCTAGTTTCACAGCCACACTCAAGCCTGCAGGCAGTTATTTTTTCCTCTGGTCATTAGGCTACAGTGCAGAGCTGAGAACCTGATATCTACCTTTGCTGTCAGATCCGCACCTTGACTCAAATTTCAGCAAACAGAGCAGCAGCACACTGTCACCTTGTGCTACAGATGGAAGAGGAGATGTCTTTGTCCTTACACCTCAGAGTAGCTGCTTTTTCTCTGGCCACGGCATGGGCCACATCCTGATATTCACAAACACCAAGATGCAACTGCCTCCAGAGCTGCTTGAAACACACACAGGAAAGCAACTCAGCAGTACAACACGGATCTGTACTAAGACCTTGAACAGACACACAGACACCAGGCAGCTCCTTCAGTGTCCCCAGGCACACAGCGGAGACTGTACATCTGCTAAATCAGGAGACCAACCCGACATAGAGAGGGTGCAAACAACAAACACAGGAGGGGGATATGCACTGCAGCTCAGGGCTCTGATCTACAGCTACAACCGTGAGGTCACTGCTCCGGTACTTACAGGTGGGCTCCCCGCCTGGGTAGCCCAGATGGTTTCTGATGGCTTCCCATAAATCATAGTCTTCAAAATTGAAGGCAAATTCATCAAAGTCTTCATAGCCGAATGAGTTGCCAATACGGGTACTTATCACTACTCCTGGGCTGCTGTCCCCTTCCAATTCTTTTGTTGGCTCCTCTCTCTCTTGAAGGGTTGTCATTTTGTCCTTGTGAAGGTCAGGGGTCAGACGTCATGCACCACTTGCCTTCAGATGAGGGGCTGGAGTAGCCAGGCTGACATGTGGAAAGCAAGCTGCCCCACTGGGAGGCCTTCACAGCAGCCCTGGGGCCAGCCCCAGTGCCTCGCTCCCCCCCTCACGGGGCATGAAGGTGCCGACTGCAGCAGCCCTGGGGTCTGAGGAGGTTCCAGGAAGGCTGGCTCCACCCAGGGATGCTTCCGTGGGGGGCTGCCCCACCAGCTCCTCAGGAGCAGGGTCCTCACTCTGCCATGGGGTCTTGTGTCAGATGCCCAGGGATGCAGCACCCGTGGTCTGGGGACAGCCAGGCTGTATGTGCAGCACCGCTTCTCTCCCTCACTCCCCTCTGGTGTCTCCCTCCCTCTCCAGCCTGCAGAGCAACCTATTGAATTCTCCATGTCCTCAGGCCCGGAGCGTGCATTTCCATGACGTCTCTTCTTTCTGTCCTCGTGCCACACGGGGCAGTCCCCCTCGGAAGCCCTCTTGAGGGGACAGCTGCCTCTGCCAGGAGAGCAGAGGAGAGAGGAGGCTCCTCACCTCAGGTTTTCTGCAATACCAGAGCTGGCGTGTCGCACAGAGGGCTGATTGCTGGGAAAGTGTGTCAGGAGAGGAGAGAGTTGGGTCCCAGGGAAATGCTGGGAGCCCTGAACCGGAGAGAGCAGTGGGACGGGTGGAGGACCAAGCATCCATGGGGTGGGCGGGACTAAGTGCTGGAAACATGGGGATCAGTGTTGTGAACAATGCAAAGCTGAAGGAGAGGAGACATGGTTGGGAAAGTAGGGTCCGGGGGGCAGGGAGGTGAGGATCAGGTCCTGTGGCAGGCTGAAGACCATACCTGGAGCTGCTAGGGAAGATAGCAAAGCAGAGAGAAGCACAGGACAAAGGGATATGCACACAGGTAATGCAGGTAGTATTGTAAAGCCTCACTTTTCATGCCATCCAAGTCAGCAGATGCCAACATCTGGGCCTCGGCCTCATCCGTGGGGACACGCTGGTATGCTGCACTCTCCAGCGTGGTCATGCTGCCGATGCACATCCTCTCCTTTAAGTCATAGGTAACCCGTTGTCCACTTGCCACCTGGCCCCAGGGCTTGCGCTTCTCCCACCCGCGTGACAGACATTCTCGAGGCCCTGGAGGGCTGTAGGAACCAAAAAGACCAACAGTACCAAACAGGTTGAATGAGGATGGGCAATGGCCTTCAGGGGTTGAGGTCCCTCCACCCATCCTGACCAACAGGCCCCTGAGAAAGAGCAGAGCCAGGAGCCACCTATTCCAAAACCTAAAGGTTGCCCCTTCTGCTCCTCCTCTCTCACACTACAGAGTGCGATCACTCAGCATGGTCAGTGTTAGGAACCCACCTCTGAGTCAAAGCCCTCATAGTTCTCTCCTGGGGTTCCCCATCCTGCAGGTCAGCATGACAGCTTGGAGAAAGGGTACTTCAGGTATGCAGCCCAGTGCCCTCAGATCTGCACCCTGGGGATCCCACAGACTCAAGGAGGATGCAGGAGTCCCAGGGAGTGACTGTTCCACCAGAGAACAGCCCAGTTGCTCACAGCTGCTCTCCCTCTGGGCCCCATGTCCTTTCTGGTTCATCAGGCAAGTTCTGGCTTGGCACAGCCACTACCCTGGGGACAGGGTCTGTACAGTAACCCCAGATGAGGGAGAGCATCATTAGACAGCTTGGTACTGCTCACCTACCTGCGGAGGGAGGCAGGGCCCTTGTCCTGCAGCAGGTCAGCAAAGCGTGGCACAGGGGACAGGATGCCACACTCCTCCTCCACGTGGAACTGCGCAGGAGCCAGAGTGCTGCTGCAGTCCTCCTCATCGCTGCCGACAGTAAACTGCAGAGACAACAGTCCTGACAGGAGGAGCTGGGGCAGGCAGCCTTTACCCCAATCCTTGGCATGCAGATCCTCCCCATGTCATCACCTCCCAGAACAGGCCATGTTGACTTCCCCCACATGCCCCATACCCTGGGACTGGTCATATTGAGACCCCCACTATCCTATAAACCCTGAGAACAGAGACATTGATCTTCCCCCATGGTCATGTACACCCTCCCCAGCATTCACTCTGTCACTGCCCTCCAGTGCTCATTTCTGCTAGACAAGGACAAAACCATTCTTCCCACAATACTACAACTTCTTTCCCCTGAGCAGCACACTCCTTGGCACCCTCTTGGCCTTAACCCTCCCTCCACCTCTCCCCAGCCTCCAAGCCTCATCAGGATAGGGATGCCCTGGCCTTGCCTTTGGTTTGCTTGGGGGCTCCAGCTTAGGGGATGTGTCCTTCCCACAAGCTTTGCTCTCAGACTCTGCAGAGACTTCTTTCTCCTGGACCTCCTCTGCTTCAGATTCTCCTTCTTCCTCTTCTTCTTCTTCGTCTTCTTCCTCCTCTTCTCCTCCCTCCTCGTCCTCTTCTTGGATGGTGGGGGTAACCTCTGAGGGGGGTACCGAGGTTTTCTTCTTTTTCCTCTTCCTTTTTTTCCTCCTGCTGGCACGGGGGGGCCTCTTTTGGAACTTGAGGGCAGAAGGGAGGTGAGTGGAAAGGGGATGATGGATGTGGTGCGAGGTTTGGCGGTGGACTGAGAGAGAAAAAGAGAGTCAGGGGCAGGAAGAGGCTGGGAGGAACCTGCCAGGCGCCCCTCCAGGAAACAGCATGGTCTGGAGATCAAGGGCCAGGAAGGGCAAGGAGAGCCACCAGCCCACAGGGACATAGCAAAACTCTTTCAGGGATGCAGCAGGCTGTGTCCAGCCTGGGCTAGGTGGGGAGATGGCCTTTGTGCAGTGCCAAACCACCCCAATGCAACTTCACTGCCCTGGGGAAGACATGACTCCTCTCCCAGTGTTGCCAAAAGCCACTTGCATGGCTGCACAGGGCTGCAGTGACCTGCTGGAGGCAACATCCCCTTCCTGAACACAGGGAAACATTTCTTGCAGTCTCAAGCATTATTTGGGCCCTTTATAAACATTCTAGGGATGTCATTTAGTGGTTAGGGCCATGACTTAATGGTGGACTTAGGTTTACGGTTGGACTCAATGATCTTAAAGATCTTTTCCATCTTAAATGATGCTACGATTCTATTTCTTTTCTGCAGTGTTGAGTTAAAGGTGCCTTATTTATCCACCAGGCTTTGATAAAAAGTCCCTCCTGCATAGCCACAGGAACCACAGACCAAGCGTTTTAGTGCAGATGCAACCTAAGTCCACATTCCAGGGACTGTCAGGGCTTGTGCCTACCAGCCTCTGAAATGCAGGTTCAATTAGAAGGCTGTCTTTTAAAAACCAGGGTAAGAAAACAGGGCAGAAGGACTTTTCTTTAAACTTATCTACAAAGAAAAAATCATACAGGCTTGACCTAGGTGTCATGGGAATTACAAAGTGAGAAGAAATTAAGGGCATTTCTGAGCCTTCACTCCAAAACAATGGCAATGCACCAGGCAGGGAGTAAGGTAAGCTCAGCATCCACAGCAACAGAAAGGAAAGCCATTTCTGCCATGCCTATCTGCAGGCACAAAGCTTCCCTTAGACAGTATGCAGGATGCACAGAGCCTGGGGCTGCACCCGGAGCTGCCAAAATCTGGGGGGGCACTAGACGTTTGGCAAGGTGGCATTGCTCAGCAGCTTTTCCTGGGGAATTGTTTCCAGTCTGTTTTGATTTGGTTCCTTCCCAGCTTTCCTGTGACATGGTAGCAAAATCTGTTTATAGTGAAAACTGCCTTCAAAGGACATTTTCAATGGAAGCTGTAACCTTCTCCCTGGGAGAGCCAGGCAGGTTCATTGTTCTGCTGTCATGTTTCCTTTCCTTTGGTTCCTCAAGTCTTTTCTCCCTTGTTTCCCCCCTTGGGAACAGCAGGGATATTTCACACATCCCCCTGCTTGTGGCAAGATTAGAGGACACTGGAAATGGTCAGACATCTGTAAATTGGGAAGATTTTGGATGGACTCTTTATAAACACTTCTTCCTTAAGTGTTCTTTTCTTTGACTTAACTAAATGTACCCTATTTCACTCACAGGATTTGGCAGGAAGACCCTCTTGTCCTGCTGCTGCACTTCCATAGCACTGCTCTGCATGCCACAGATAGGCCAGGCATGAATGGAAGAAGCAAGGAAGGCCCCAACTATACAAATGTTGCTCCTTCTACAGCATAAAGCTGCTGGTGAGGACACAGCCTTCCCTTCTGGCTTGTTCACATCAGCCTAAGACAGAAATGTTCATGTTTTGTATCAGAAGGAAACCAAAGCCTTGGGCTGCAAGGAGGAGCAGTAATGGCAGATGTGTGATCTGGCACAGAAGAGGGGAGCACTGCTCTTCACCCTTGCACTCAGCCCTCCTCATGTCAACTGATCACATCTCCACAGAGGTGGTCTGGAGATGGGAAAAACACACCTCTCCCAAACACAAAAGGATTCATGCTTCCCCCTTCTTCCTGCCTGTCCTCCTGTGTGTCCAGTCCCTGCTTGCCCTCCCTGCTACCTTCCTTGCACTGCCTGCCTGTATGGAAAGTTACTGGCTTTGACTTGAGCAAGAAACATTTCTAAGCCCAGAGAGCATTCACCTCATGAGCTGGTATGTTATCTTTCAAAGGCTAATGACCCAACCAGATCTTCCAGCTTTATGAATACAAACTTCTGATAACTAGGGTTGACATAGTTATAGAGAACAAGAATACATCAGGAGCTCAGTGGAAAACCAGCTTGATTTTGATAAAGAAGGACTCTCCTATTAAGAAGGAAAAAAACCCAAACAACCCAAACAGTATGAATCTCTAGACAAATTTTTAAAGAAGCTTCTGCCATGCATGCTCAAGCAGATTGTCCATGTCCTCCAAGCCAACTCGCACACCTGTGCACACAGGCAGAGCTTCTGAGCAGGTAGGTCCTGCGAGCACAGGACAGGAATTCAACCCACAGCAAAGCTATTAGCACCTTGCAGCCATGTGCACAAGTGACTGTGAGCTCAGGTGGGAAGTGTTATTTGAATGGAGCCTCTGTAGAGAAATGACACAAGCAGAAATTAGCAGCTAGGGTGCAATACACTTTTACCAGCAAACTTTTACAACAGCCATTGGAAATGAGTGACCAAGCAGAAAACAGCCTGCTGATGTACTTGGGACATAATGTTCCCAAGGATGAATCCCATCAAAGCTAAGCTGGAAAATAAACAATATGTGACTGTGGAGAGCCACAGACTGGAAAACTCTCCCAACCATTGCTACTTGTCTGCCACACAAACAGACTGACAGAGGGGGACCTCTTTGTGCCCTTCACTGCTGTTAATACAAAGTAGCACAACCCACCCAGATCAGGCAATAGCTTACAGCCACTCTCGTGGGTATACTCTCATTTTACAGCCAAAGCAAGTTTGGGCAGGCTAGTTGCAGTTAGAGGAATAAATGTGCTGCTCAAAGGAGTTCAGGTGAGATAGCAATAGCCCTTTAAATTCACCCTCCATTTTTATTTTGCAGTCCTTTCTTTGACCAGATACGGTTTCTTGGGTTCTATTTAGGAATACACAGGCATGCCTGACTGGAACCATCTGCTTTCAGACTGGGGAGGACAGCCTAGCTTCTGGTCATGTTTGGGTGTTTCTTTACAGCCACATAGGAGAAAAATAGTTTTAAAAGGGAAATTTCAACGTGGAGGAAGTGGCTGCAGAGGTTCCCGAGACTGGGTGAGGAGGTGAGCGAATACCCCGGACTTTGCTATGCTACTGTGTGGGCTGTGCAGTAGCCTGTGGAGACAGAGAAAACGGAACAGACTGGGAACAGGCCATGGGCACTGGTGCTAAACTGTGTGTACACAGCACTTTGGGAACGCTCCGGGCTAGAGGAAGTGAATAGCAGGCTAACACAATCTGCAGGGTCCCGGCACAAGGCTGCAGAGCACCTGGGGCTAAGTGTGGGCTGGTGGTGAGGGTGGAAGTGGGTACAACAGTTCAAACCTACATACATTCAAAATCTCTCTCACTGTAGCTGCGACTTTGCTTCTCCAGACTGCTTGATGCTGACTTGCTTATCAGGTCCCCAAATCTCTCGATTGACAAAGTCTTATCCAAGTCCTCATCGTCCTCGGCACCAGGAGAAGCTTTCTCTGCATGATCTCTGCCCTGCACAGAAACCGCCAGACAAGAATCAAACAAGGCAGACCCCTACAACCCTCTGGATCCTCCTGCCCTGCAAATGGTTCTGGCTTGCTAAGGAGCAGAAAGCCCCACATGACAGAGCTGGGGCATAGTTTCTCACATAGAGGTACACCTCTGCTCAAAACCAAGAGCCAGAACAGATCCGCAAGCTCCAAGGCACAGTCTCTGCACAGGTACCTAGCAGTCCTCCACAGCTCCCTTGAGTGGCAGGTACCAAGGGACTATGCCAGTGCCTGTCTTTTTCATTAGAGAAGATGCGTAGCTTTTGTTTAGCTGGAATTTCTCTCTCCCCATATCTAACTGCTGCCCTCTGGCCTTCCCTTTGCCCAGTCGGCCATCCCTCTCTTTCTTAGACCTCCTCTGTACTCCCCTGGGGAAACAGCATCCCTGCTGTAGTGACCTGTCCTTGAGTCAGTGACTGCCCTGTACCTTCCCACCTCCCCTCCACACACTTAGGGACTCCCTGTTCCCCTTGAATGCTTTCTTCAGGCTTTTCTGCCCATTTTCCTCCTGTTTCAGGCTATGGGCACTTCTCTGCCTTCTGCTGGTGGAGAAGCCCTGAGATGAACATCAGCTGGTGATCCCTGTCCTTTCTGTCTCCTGAGCAGCTGCAGCTGGTAAAATTTTCCGTCAATATAGCTGAAATGCCAGCACGGAGCTGTTGTGGACTCCGTGTTTCCATGGAAACAGGAGGAGGCCCAACTGTGACAAATCTGTGCTAGGCGGAAAGAGGGAGCAAGGCAGCTTTAGCCGAATTGTGCCTCTCCTATTGTGCCTCTCCTCGCATCCCCCAGCTCTTCCCAGCTGTGCCCTGAGAGCAGCTTTGTATCTGTGAGTGACACTGCTTCTCCTCTCCCCTTAGCCCAGGTGTCCCAAGCCCAGCCTAAATGGCTAGAGTCTATTTGCAAGCTGCCCAACTCCTCCTGCCACTTGGCTACTCCACCCAATGACATGTGAAGGCACAGGGACCCCACAGAGCAACCTCCACCCTTTTGCTGTCTGCATGGAGTGGACGTGGGCTCATGAGCAGTCTTGGGGCACCCTTCGTGCAGACCTGTCCCCAGCAAGCAGAGGCTGTGTCACCTACTGCAGCATGCTGCCAGGACATGGGTCCTGCTCTTGGCCTGGCAGGAGCACAATCCCTGGGGAAGAGACAGTCCCTCTGCTGCTGGATTCCCACCTCACCTGCTGCAAGTCGATGAAGACATCTCCTACGGGAGGGGACTCTCCAGCTGCCATTTTGGTTCAGGACCTAAGGGCCTGGGCAAAATATCAACCCTTCTCTTTCACCGGCAGGCACCCAGCAAACCTGGAGAGTGGCATAACCTGTGGAGAGAGGGCAGGACAAGGGAATGTCGTGGGAGACTGCTGGCCACTGCCCTCAACCCCCCTGGCTCTTGACCCAGAAAGGTCATCTGACTGGCCCTTGAGGAACCTCCCCAGCAGCACTAGGACAGGCCTGTCCCCAGCAGTGTGCAGGGGTGAGTGGCTCAGCCCGCACTGCTTTGGCCACTGCCTCCAACAGTTCGAGGGTAGATGGGACCCTGTCCTCCTCTGAATGGTCGGAGGGGCCGACCGAGACAGTGGCTACATATAGGTCCTGCACAAGCTGTGTGAGAGACAGAAAGGCTTCCTGCTCAGCCACCTCTCCACTTTGCACATCTGTGCAAAGCTGGGGTGTGATTGGCCACAAGGGAAAGATAGAGGTGCAGAGATCGGGTACTGGGAGGTCATGCCAGAAGCAGGCAGCAGAGTGGTCCTGTGGCACCTAGCCTTAATTGGGCAGATCCCAAAAAGGCCAGAAGGAACCTCAGAGAGATCTGTGCAGGCCACAGAGATGGCACAAGGACAAACAGTTCATCATTCAAACACCACACACAAAATAACATATATCA